ACCTGACGCGGCAGTACCAATGCCCGGGTCGGGCGGGAAACACCGGTAACAGTCATCCTCATCACTACCAATCGCAGCATACATAGCAGAGAGAATAGCATCAAAATCAAGATCATAAATAGCTACACCAGCCCTAGACAGCTCTCCCCAGCGGGGGATCTCAGCTGCCTCCGGAAACTGCTGACGCCAGGCGTCAGTCAGGCGGCCAAAGCAGCGGCGGGCAGCGTGGGCGCCTCCACACCTCTCCCCTGCACGGTCACCGGTGCGGAGAACGTAGGGGCAAGGACCAAGCGCACCACCACGCTGACGCTGCGAGTACCACTCACGGAGCTGCTGAGGGGCGGGGACGGTGCGAGAGCGCTGCTGCTGCTGTGGCTGCTGCTGTGGCTGCTGCTGCTGCTGCTGCTGGCGCTGACCACCCCCGGAGCTGCTCCGCTGGGACGAGCCACTCCGACCCCCGCCTCCACTGCCACCCCCGCCTCCACCGCCACCCCCGTCTCCACCTCCACCTCCCCCACCAGGACCGTCGCTCCCACCGCTCCCACCGCCTCCTCCGCTACCACCTCCGCCGCCACCTCCGCCTCCACCGCCGCCACCAGTACCTCCACTCCCGCCACCACCCCCACCGCCACCCCCACTCCCCCCGCCACCCCCACCGCCTCCTCCACCGCCCCCTCTAGCTCCACCCGCTCCCTTGCCCCCCTTGCCCTTGCCAGCGCGGCGTCTGCCGCTGGGGGCAGACGCCGCGCCGACCGACTCAAAACCAGTGAGGTCGGCCGCAGCGGCAGAGGCGACAGAGGGCAGCAGGGGGGAAGGAGCACACCCCTCAAAGATAGGGGTGCGAGGGTCACCCCGAGAGGCCCCTACAGCGACAATACTCTTCTCAGCCGCTAGCAGGGACTCCTCAAGGAGGTCGACAGTGAGAGCGGTGGGACAGACAGAGAGAAACTGGTCCCTAACGACACGAAGGGACTCAGGGAGACGGGTGACGAGAAAGTAGAGAGTGATGTACATGGGAGGAGGGTTCGCAGCGCGGAACTCAGCAGGAAGGGCAGCGCGGTAGCGGGTGTCACTAGCACGGAGGTGGGTAACGAGGTCAGCGACAGTGCTAAAGGAAGCGAGGTCAGGGAAGAGAAACGGTAGCATGAGGCGGCTAAGGGTAGCGGAGGAAGGGGAGGAGTAGCGTGCAACTACAGCGTCGTACAAGGCCTGAGCGGTCTTGCACTGACTAAAGTGGGCACGCTCAGAGGAAGGGAGGTGGCGACGCACAGCAAGACGTGCAGCAGCATCGCGGGTCGCCCACTTGGAGCGAACGGCAGAGTCAGCATCGGCAGGTGGGGCAGGGACAGCGCCAGAGACAAAGTCAAAGAGCGAGACCTCATCTATCGCATCACACAGTAAGTACAGCTGCAGGTCCTCAATCCAGACGGCAAAGTCAATGGCCCTCCCCTCAGCGTCAAAGGTAAGAACATTGGGGGTGGCCATGACAGCAGCTGAAAATCTCACCGGGCTGGGAGAGGCGGGTAGGTCAGCAGCAGAGGAACAGCAGCACGGCTCCGCAGGCGGCTCGGGCGGCGCGGGTCGGCGGCGGTTCGGCGGCGGCTCGGCGGCGGCTCGGCGGCGGCTCAGGCGGCGGCGGCTCGGCGGCGGCTCGGCTGCTGCTGGGCGGCGCGGGCGGCTCGGGCGTCACGGGCGGCTCGGCGGCGGCTCTGGCGGCTCGGCGGCGGCTCTGGCGGCGGCTCGGCGGCGGCTCGGCGGCTCGGCGACGGCTCGGCGGCGGCTCGGCGGCGGCTCAGGCGGCGGCGGCTGCTGCTGGGCGGATCGGCGGGGCCGCGTAGTAGAGTGGCGGCGGGGCCGCGACCGAAGAGAGCGGCGGGGCCGCTTAGCAGAGGGCGGCGGGGCCGCGACCGAAGAGAGCGGCGGGGCCGCGTAGCAGGGGGCGGCGGGGCCGCGTAGCAGAGGGCGGCGAGGCCGCGTAGCAGAGGGCGGCGGGGCCGCGATCGAAGGGCGGCGGGGCCGCGTAGCAGAGGGCGGCGGGGCCGCGTAGTAGAGGGCGGCGGGGCCGCGTGGCAAAGGGCGGCGGGGCCGCGATCGAAGGGCGGCGGGGCCGCGTAGCAGAGGGCGGCAGGGCCGCGTAGCAGAGGGCGGCGGGGCCGCGTAGCAGAGGGCGGCGGGGCCGCGAGGCAGAGGGCGGCGGGGCCGCGTAGCCGAGGGCGGCGGGGCCGCGATCGAAGGGCGGCGGCGGGGCCGCGTAGCAGAGGGCGGCGGGGCCGCGATCGAAGGGCGGCGGGGCCGCTAGGGAAGGGCGGCGGAGCCGCGAGGGGAAGGGCGGCGCAACGGTCCGCTAGGGGCGACACGACGGGTCGCTAAAAAAAAAACGCGCCTCGGGGCGCGGTTCGGTGGGCCCTAGAAGCAGTCCCTAGGAGGGAACCTGCTCTGATTCCATGTGGAAACAAAGAACGAGAATGAAATGACTATGAACGAAGTGAGTACAAATAGGAAACCCTAATTGGGTTGTACCCCCTATGGGATACCCCACTATAGCCTACAGAAACAAGTAAGCTATAAGTTCTGACACGCCGCTCCTCACTCTTTTTCGTTTCCCTTGACAGAGGCTCCCCTGTAGACTCTCCACATGGACGTGTGGGGCCCAGCCCGCGTAAGTGGACTGGGCCACGAGCGGTACTTTTTGGTGGTTGTTGACGACTACACGCGTTACACCACGGTCTTCCCCTTGCGCAGCAAGGGGGAGGTCCTTCTCGCAATTGACTAGCACATGAATTCCAGTCTTTTGCCGCAAAATCCTTCAAGGATTAAACTCTGAAAGATTCTCCTAAGGCAATTTTTCAGACCAGCAGGTCCAGTCAGAGTAAAACAGTACTTTAGGCGACCCTTATTACTTGTATACAAACTCAGAGTTACAATATGTTTTGACGGACCCTGAGGGTAGAGCGCGCATTCGCGGTCCTTGATGTCAAATGTACGTCCTCAGAATTTTTAACTAAATAAGAGAAATTTCTCTTGATTTTTTGGGGCTGCCAAGGCCATAAACCATGTAAAAATCAAATCGAAGTGTACAAGCACTGTACAATCCATAACGAGCCCTTTCCTTGGTGCAACCAACGATTAATGATAATCCAGTCCGTAGAAACAAAACCCAAACTGTTTCTAGCAAAAGTAGAATCGATTACAGCAATCATCCCTGAGAGAGCTACAGCACACGCAGGTAAAAATTGCCCTGGCCATGCTATTTCAGACTTGGGTCCCAAAACACACAATCCAACTGCCCAAAACATACAAAACCAAGATATGAAAGATCTACGCTTCACATGCCAAAGATCAGGAGCAAGACGGTTGCGATCGCAGCAGCACCAGAGAGGTTGATGGCAGCAGCAATGAACATGCAAGGGGCACATGCCGATAGGGACTTGGGTGCTGGCACTGCAGTTGATGCAGGTGCTTCAGCCAATGCCGGTGCTTCAGCCGATGCTGGTGCTTCAAACGATGGTGGCGCTGGAGTTGACAATGGTGCTTCAGTTTATGTTGGTGCTTCGCCCGAGGCTGGTGCTTCAGTTGGTGCTGGTGCTTCTGTGGTTGACAACACGTACCCTAAAATTGGGGTCGCACATACAATGTGAACATCACATAGTAGAGTCGTCTCATTTCGTCTACGCGTAACTAGAGTTCACCTTTTGGGGCGGTACAGTACCCTGTCAAGCTCAAGTACTTGAGGGGGATTCTCACATTATCCTTTGCCCGCGTTTGGGAATGATATGGCGTTCAAGGCTGTATGTCCAAACACGAGTGTGGTGCACTACTTGAACAGTACCGTAACACTTTTAAGTCAAGACAAAACACGGTTCACTAAAAGCCTAACACATGGTAACGAACTTCTCCAAAAAATCCTGATTTGTATCGATTCTCTTCGGCATTTTGAATAAATAGAATACAATTGCAGCAACGAGTGTGCAAGGGCCAGACGCTGAAGGGACCTTAGGTGCTGCAGTTGGAGCCAATAAATGAGGGAACACAATAACAGGCAATCCCGAAAAAGCATGGATAAGTGTCACACTGCAAGTGTACACAACTGACGCTGGCTTACAAGGTAGCCATAAATCCCAAACGTTTTCTACCTTGACTCTTATTGACTACAGCAATCATTCGACAGTATACGAAAGCTACAACACGCATACCTCAGTTAAGTACTTCAAACTTGGGTCCCATCACACAAATCCACTTGTCCAAACCAATTGATACAAAACCAATATGTGAAAACTCTACTCCACTTCACATCCCAATTAGGAGCGAGACGGAGGCAAGAGCAGCAGCACCCGAGAGGTTGATGGCAACAGCAATGAGAGTGCAAGGGGCAGATGCTGATGGGGAACTAGGTGCTGGCACTGGAGCCGACGCTGGTGCTCCAGTTGATGCTGGTGCTTCAGCCGACGCTGGTGCTCCAGTTGATGCTGATGCTTCAGCCGATGCTGGTGCTCCAGTTGATGCTAGTGCTTCAGCCGATGCTGGTGCTCCAGTTGATGCTGGTGCTCTAGTTGATGCTGGTGCTTCAGCCGATGCTGGTGCTCCAGTTGATGCTGGTGCTCCAGTTGATGCTGGTGCTTCAGCCGATGCTGGTGCTCCAGCCGATGCTGGTGCTCCAGTTGATGCTGGTGCTTCAGCCGATGCTGGTGCTTCAGCCGATGCTGGTGCTTCAATTGATGCTGGTGCTTCATCCGATGCTGGTGCTTCTGTGGGTGCTGACACTGGAATGTGGGCATAGATTGGACGTAGTTGATTTATAATATGCAAGGCATGCCTTGTCTCGCCAACTGGCCAATTATGCAAGGCTTGTTTAAAGTTGGTGTGGCATCAATCTGGTGTTTGTTTGTGTGTGTGTGTGTGTGTGTGTGTGTGTGTGCGTGCGTGTGCATGTGCGTGTGCGTGTGCGTGCGTGTGTGTGTGCGTGTGGGTGTGTGTGCAGTCATAGCAAAAAGGAGACTCACATGCATGGGGAGTGCAGGAGGAGCAGAAGGAGAAGCAGAGGCGGCAGAAGCTGGTGGTGTTTCTCTGCTTCACCAGGCACTTGCTGCCCTCTGGAGGGCAGGTCAGCCCCGTGCCCGAGACGTTCCTGGGGGCGAGGTGGGGAAGAGACGGATGGGAGAAGGGAGGCAAGAATACACAAGCGATAAAATGTGGATACTGTACAAGATTTTTGAAAAACCCATCTTGTGAGCCAGGAATGCGTGAAGACAAGAACAGGTCAAAGCCATGGAGAAGGAAAGTGTCCCTTGAGCCAAATGCTTCATAGCAACACACATTTTGACAAGCATGTATAAGAAATGATTATGTCAGTCTGAATGTGTCCTATGAGTTTGATTGGATACTGCATGCAATGTCCGTTTGGTTCGCTCGTGGCAGAGCAATTGAACAATTGAGACAAGAAGGATGATGTAGCATGAGCCATTAAGGAGTGCATGCTATAAAGAGGCCAGTCAACACATCTCTGGTGCCAGTGATTCGAATGGGGGGGATGCGAGATGTGCTTGTGAGACCCAAGTAGGAAAGGTGTAAGCCGTACGAGCATTGCCAGGAGGGCAGCCACGATTAGGTTTGTGGGTGACAGGGACAGGTTGTGCTACTCACAGGGATGTTAGATCCTCAAATCCCCCCAGGCTCGCTGGTATGAGGCCACTCAAGTTGTTACCTCCAAGGCCCCTGCCATGCCGTGCCATGCCACACGTGCATGCCAGCAAACCAAGTGAATCAGCTTCTTGCAATGATGTTCGAGAGAAGCCTTTTTGCGAGTCCACTTTGTGGAATGCAGCAAAATGTGCTGCCCCGGCTGATGCTGTCAGCCATGCTATGCCAAGACACGACCCATTTTTTTAAGGCAGCATCCGTGCTTTCTCAGACATCCGAGTTTCACAACAGCACCGTGCCTCATGTGCACAAGGGCTGTCTTCGGCTCACAGGTGCTGCAGCGATGTAAGGAAGGAGATGGATTTAGGGAGGGAGCCATTGAGCTGGTTGTCACTTATATCACTGAGAATAGTGTGGGGTGGGTGGTTGTGGGAAGAATGGGGGGAGAGACTGGAAAGATGGGGAAGGGGAGGCGAGGGGAATCAGGATACATAAAACGTGGCAAAAATAACTGGTGGCTTACCATGCCCTCAGAGACATGCGTTGCTGGGAGTGTGGCTGTTATAACATATCTGGCCTTGTTAAAGGGAAGAAGATATGAGAAGCAATATATCATTCACATGAAGTGCACACATAGATAAATAAGCGGCAGAGAAGAATAAGAACATGGCAATGATCTCACAGCACACGTAGCAGAGGGGTTCCCCACGAAATAAAGTTTGGAAGCGAGCCAGAGAATGAATTGCCTTGCAGCTCACTGTATGGATGCACGGGATGGGAGTGGGGAAAGGGCACGCGGTGTGTACAAATGGGAATTTGTACCATTGCAAACAGGAGAAAATGAGGCAGCATTTGCTAGAGGATGTGTGTCTCCCGCCCTTCTTTGATACAGGAGCAAACAAATGAAAGGCGCGCTTACAGAGCCCTAAGTTCGGAGGAGGAGAGAGCAGAAGGAAGAGGCCCCTGGAACTGGTTGTTAGCCATGGCGCTGGAAATAGCACATGGGCAACAGTGGAGAGAATTGATAAGATGGTAACATGCATCAGAAGCAACGTGCTGCAGCGAGGTTTGAGCCATCCATTGGCCATTGTTGGAATGATGTGAAATTCGGTGAGCCAGTGTGCTCAAACACGTGTTGTACATGAGTGTCGGGTACAACTGTCCCAATTGAAGCAACGCCAGCACCTCACGCTGGGGTTTGAACACTACAAATGTACTCATAACCCTACCTAGTGGGCCATCTAATCACCTAACTTACTTTGGCTCCCACATTGGTATGGCTTATCTCCAGTTCATTTGATCAATGTAGCGGTCTACCAATTTCCTCGGCCACAGCTGCCTGCTATGTAAGAATTTCCCTTCCTACTGCCTCCTGGTTGGCATTTGCATGTGATATCTGAGGAGACCTTGCAGGCAGAACCTAAGGGTCGAGACTTGGTTTAGCCATTGGTCAAAGTGTACTCACCTTGCCTTCATTTGCTGCTTCTTACCTTCCCCATCCCACGAGGAGATTTTGATGGGATGAGTGTCAGCACTCACGGTGACGTCAGGAGCTCACAGAGAGGTCAGGTACTCACAGGGAGGTCAGGTACTCACAGGGAGGTCAGGTACTCACAGGGAGGTCAGGTACTCCAGGCTCCAAATGCTAGGAGGAACAATGCCAGTGAACTGGTTGTGGGAAATGTTACTGTTGGCACAGGTGTGGGAATGGGAATGGCCGAAGGGCTCGCAGTGTGTAGAAATAAAGAACGGTGACAGAGTTGCAAATACACAACACGCTCTGTTTTCAATCAAGGAAAAAAGAGGCAGCATATGTTTCAAAATGTGCACTTCCTGCCCTACTGGAGTGAACAAATTCAATGCGCGCTTACAAAGCACTAAGTTGCCAGCCAAGAGTAGAAGGAAGAGCCCCCTGGAGCTGGTTGTTAGCCATGTCGCTGGAAAGAGCACATGGGCAACAGTGGAGGGAATTGATAAGATCGTAACATGCATCAGAAGCAACGTTCTGTAGTGAGGTTTGAGCCATCCAGTGGCCATTGTTGGAATGATGTGAATTCGGCAAGCCCGTGTGTTCAAACATGTGTTGTACATTTATGTCGGGTACAACATTTGTGGTGGTTCCTTCCAATCACAACTGTCCCAATTCTAGCAACGCCAGCACCTCACACTGCAAATGTACTCATTGGCCTACCTAGTGGGCCATCTAATCACCTAACTTACTTTGCCTCCCACATTGGTATGACTTCTCTCCAGTTCCTTTGATCAATGTAACGGTCTACCAATTTCCTCAGCCACAGCTGCATGCTATCTAAGAATCTCCTTCCTACTTCCTCCAAGTTGGCATTTGCATGTGATATCTCAGGAGACCTTGCAGGCGTCATCCCACGAGGAGATTTTGATGGGATGGGTGTCAGCACCCACAGTGACGCCAGGAGCTCACAGGGAGGTCAGGTACTCACAGGGAGGTCAGGTACTCACAGGGAGGTCAGGTACTCAAAGGGAGGTCAGGTACTCTCAGGGAGGTCAGGTACTCACAGGGAGGTTAGGTACTCACAGGGAGGTCAGGTACTCACAGGGAGGTCAGGTACTCACAGGGAGGTCAGGTACTCCAGGCTCCAAATGCTAGGAGGAACAACGCCAGTGAATTGGTTGTGGGAAATGTTACTGTTGGCACAGGTGTGGGAACGGGAATGGAGGAAGGGTTCAGAGGAAGGGCTCGCAGTGTGTTCAAAGGGGAATGTTCACAGTTGCAAATACACAACACTCGCTGTCGTCAATCATGTGAAAACGAGGCAGCATACGCTTTAGGATGTGCACTTCCCGCCCTCTTTCCACACTGGAGAGAGCAAATTCTATGCACGCATACAGATACTGGAGGTCTGTGGAGCTGAGAGCAGAAGGAAGAGGCCCCTGGAGCTGGTTGTGAGCCATGTCACTGAGAAGAGCGCACGGGTGATTATGGAAGAATGTGAAAAATCAGTAACATACATCAGAAGCAACGTGCTGGAGTGAGGAATGAGCCATCCAGCGGCCCATGGAACGTTCAAAGACAACCCGCCAGAATGCACGTGAATGATTTTCCACCTATTTTTCTTGCCACATGCAATGCACGATCCCACGGCTAGATGCATGCACACCATCCTGCTAGCATGCTTGGCTCTTGACCATGCCAGAAGGGGTAGGGTGGCCCGGCACAAGACGTCAGAGCATGGCACAGGTCAGAACAGCATGGCTCATCAAGGCACAGCATGACATGGGTTGGTCAGTCTAATAACAACTTTCACCAATCGTACCAACAACGGAGCCCCATATTAGTGGAATGGGCATCACTCCACAACAATCTCAAGTGACCTTGCAGGGCAGCACCTGAGGGTCACAACTCAGTTTTGCAAGCCATAGTCATGCCAACGTGCTGTTGAGCTCGCCTTGGATTCATGTTCCACTCTTTAACTTCCTCGTCACATGAGGCGCATTTGATGGGATGAGTGGCCGCAATAAAAGGGACATCAGGCACTCACAGGGACTTTAGGCTGGTCAGGGCCCAAATGCCGCGAGGAACAACGCCAGAGAACTTGTTGTGGGAAATGTTGCTGTCAGCACAGGAGACCAACATTGGCAAGGAAACGCCACAGGTGTTATGGAGGACAGGACGAAAGATCTGAAACAACTTGTCACCAACTGCAAGAACAGAGGATGGCTCTAAGAACTACTAAGAGATCAGGGACATTAGGACAGCCATTTTTGGTGGGAGGGGTCCCGTGAAGTTGTTGTGTGAGAGGTTGCTACACGCAATCAAGATAATGGTTTGGATGCAATGAAGCCTATGCCTTGCATGCAATGAAGGGTATATGCTTGCATGCCGGGTATATGGCCTGCATGCAATGAAGGGTATATGGCATGCATGCAATGAAGGGTATATGGCTTGGATGCAATGACGGGTGTATGGCTTGAATGCAATGAAGGTTATATGGCTTGAATGCAATGAAGGTTATATGGCTTGGATGCAATGAAGTGTACGTCTTGATTGAAATGATTGGAGTGAACGGCTTCTGGAGGCACTGTTGCATGAAAAGAAAAGAAGACGTTTGTGAAACATCATTGAGAAGCCCATGAGACTTGATTGAGAATGCGTTACATGTCTCTAATGTAATTTTCCGCATTCAAGATGTTAGAGGGGAAGGGTCCAGTGAAGCTGTTGTTAGACACATCACTGTGGAGGAGGAAGGGCCGTACGGGAAGGTGGGCAATAAAGCTTGAAGGCAGTGATGTGAGTGAGGGTATAGTATTGGATGGGGCAAGAAACACAGGAATGAAGAAGGAAGATATAGGAGAATTTGTGCATCTGGGTAAAGTTGCTGAATGAGCACGTCACACAAAGTCCATTCGCCTTTTGATCTGATCTTGCCTATTCACATGACACCTTAGACACCTATGGTATTTTATTTCTTTTACGAACAACAAATGGACAAATGCAGAGAGACGAAAGAAGTCATAGGGACATGCAAACAGACAATTACGGAATCTGACTGTACTTTGGAACAGAGAGTTGTACCTTACACAGGCATTGATGAGTTACGTCGAGACTGATGTGCAACTTCTATTCAAACGTACCACTTGGATATCCATGATAAGCTTACAGCCTTTCGATTCTTATGTTGGGATAGGATGGAAATGGGCCTGAGAAGTTGCATGATGCGGCATATAGCATCCTTAGGACAGAAGATGAAAAACGTGTTGGAGAGGGGAAGAAAGAAGGGGGGATAATGAGGTGGGGATGGGAGGAAAGGGGGATTGATTTGTGGATATAGGTCAAGAGGGTAGGGATATAAAGGAAGAATGAAGGTAGAGATATAAACCTTGGAATTATGATCATCCAAGTTGAAGCAAGTGGGATGAGCAGGAGATATACAAATTGAAAACATTAACATCGGATACAAACATCACATATCGCACAATGATGTACTACATCTTGCGCACTCACTGTAATTGTCCAGTTGAGGACGTTTTAAGGAGCACATCCAAGCCTCCACTAAGAGGATTGTCGCTGAGGTCTCTGTAGGGGGCATGAGAGATGGTTAGCATGGCAAGCAAACGCTGGTGATGAGGACAAAGGTGGAGAGGGAGACACATGAAGTGTGATGGATGGAGAAAAAGGGAGGAAGCGCCTGGAAGTGGTTGTTATTGCAACCCCTTGGCTGTTCTGCACCTGTTGTCTAGTGGTTTGGGTAGGTGTTGGTCATTCATAGACAGATCAGTGTGTATGTGCCCAACCATGAGTGATGGGGAACAGACAGGTATGGGAGAGAGAGTGATTCATCAAGCAATTACAAGTGTTTTCATAGATTAATTATACATCGTGCATAAAGCAACAAGGAGAGGGATAAGAGGGCCTATACTTTGAACTACACACTCTGCCCCAATCGCTTGTGATCTTCGCGGCTGACGCGGAATCAACAGCCGCCGCTGATGCGACGGTGATTGACAGGCGGCCCACAGCACGGACAAGCTACAGCAGCTCAAGGACAAGCAGCCGCTGCCGACACTCCGGCAGTCGCTGCTGCCCCGTCGCCTCCCTGTAAACTGACTCCTCAGGTGTGCTGTGCTGGCTTCGTCCTGACCGTACCATGCCACAGCCACCCGTCGTGGTGTGTGCAGCGATGATAGTGCCTCTGCTCCCCAACCCTGTTAAATGGAGGGGTCCCCATTGAAGGGGGGATTCGCTATCTACCTCGAAGGTAGCCTGCCTGCACTCGTCTGTAAGCCCTGTAAGGTAGTTTCTTCAACTCTCCTGGATTCACGAGGTTATTTCAAGGTGGGCTTCACTCACCTTGCTCGAGCCATTGGCGGCAAAGGGCTCACACTAAAACCCAATCATGTCAAGCTGGCATGATGGACCCACTATGTGGAAGCGCCTCTGAGACTAAGATTGTTGGCCTTGCATGGCAGCTCTGTGTTCTGCCAAGCTGCCAAGACGTAACACGGTGTGCGGTGAAAGCTAGTGCCTGGTGGAGGAGACAAGGCAGGTGATTCGCAAGGGGTGCGGGGTACTGGACCCGGTACTTACGCGTGACATGCAAGGGGCAGGGCGGCACATCTCACATGCTATACACGTCTCCATTGACGGGCACGGATCCCTTGAGGTCGTTGTGGCTCAGCGTGCTGCAAGGGACAGGGAAGGATGGAAGAGGTGGGGGAGGGTGGAGAGATTTCAATCATATACTGCTGCGCCATCTTGAAGCTTTGTCGACTGTTTTCCCATGCATTGAAAGTTGCTGACATTCTGCAAGCTTCTGTAACTTGATCTAAACAGTGAGACAGCAAAACAGTTGAACGCAAGCATGACATGAGCAAGCATCACCTCGGCCCGTGAGACCGGTGACTTGGGTTTGACTCCACTTCAAGCCAAACTAAATTGATTACCAGACTGACACATGCTACCCATCTAATGATGTAAGACAGCACTCGATTTGAGCCATCCTAAACTTCACTCAGGTCAATTGACTGAATCAACGTTACATTCACCGCAGTCCAGTCCATAAATCATTGACAAAAACAAACTTATGTCAACCTGATTTGACTCTTTTCAGGTCAGTTTTCTCAAAAGCTCAGCTTCTTGGTCATGTCATTGATATCAAAAGTCACGAGCTTATTGCAGGTCAAGTCCCTGAACTCTAAAGCAACATCACCCATCACTTTTTCTCTCGAATGGTCCTTTGCATAACCGAACAACGGCAAAATATAGTGTCACAAAAAAAACCCTAGCCAGCAACATAGGGATCCAGTTGCTCCTAGTGGAGCATCTTCCATGAGGTTGGGGCACTTGTTTGCTCACTCAAAGCACTAATTTTCTGGCACCGAGCAAAATAATGAGGAGAAGCCTCATAAAATAATTTGTGTGGCATACCCCTTATTCAAGGACCTTATTTACTCCTCCCTTGCTCACGTCCACATACCCTCAATCCACCAAGGACTTACATATTTTCCGCACTGATGGCAGTAGGCATGGTGGTGAGGTGATTGTGGGAGAGGTCTCTGCTCACAGTGAGGGCAAGCAATGAGGGTAGGTGGAGAGGAAAGGATGTGGAATCGAGAAGGGACATGCATGTTGAAGCAAGGGTGGAAGTGCTTGACTGCTACACGGCAAAGGGATGTGCGATTCAAAACAGCTATTTGGAGGAGCACGAGGCGGGTTTGTTGAACATAACGTGCACGGCGCATGTCATAACAGGGTGGTTTGAGATTATATGAATCTTCACACAACCTTCGCTATCAAGAGCAAAAAGCAGCACAAAGAGCTCCCCTAGTAACCAAAAGAAACACATACATACATTCTTGAAGCAGCAGCAGCAGAAGAATCCGAAGGGATTTTTGAAGAAAAACTGCCACGAGAGGAAAAGGCATAGTGAAAGAGCCTAACAAAAAAAATCCACCAGCTGATTCCGTTGGCTGTCCCTTGTATGCTTGTGAGGAAAGGTGTGTGTTAGAAACTCACATGGTCTGGAGGAATCCGCGAATGGCAGGAACGGCGCCGGTGAGATTGTTGTAGGAGGGCCCCCTGTGTTGTGGAGGCAGGCACGCGTGGGGAGAGGCCAATGCATACATGTGAATTAAGGAGATTTTTCAGTTGACTCAAAAGGCATGCATGGACTTTTAATCATGGCAATGCAACTCTGTGCAGTGGATTGTCATTCCATACGAAGGAGAGGACTTGAACAGTGCAGGAATGGCTTCAAGCTATTGGCTGCTTGCGATTTTGCATCTCAGTTATTATCTTCATAGCTGGCTCAATGACGTTCTTGTGCATGCTGATCTGGCCTGAAAACCATGGTGAAAAGTAAAGACACGGTAATTTCTTCAGGTGCTTACAGATATTTCAGTTCAGTGAGCTTGGAGATGTCGGCAGGGATGCTTCCTGTGAGGTTGTTGAAATAGAGCTCCCTGGTGGGGCCATTTCGAGGAGGGGAGAGAGGTTGGCTGCCTTGTAGGAAACGACAAGAGGAACCGCCTTCACATATCTATCCCTTCTCCAAGTTGGCCCTCGCAGCCTGCTACATCAAAATCTGGTGCTGTTAACCTGGTGCTCTCAATCCGCTGCTCACAACCTGGTTCTTACAACTTGATGATTTTGCGTATTGTGTGGGGAGGGGGGTGGGAAGGGAGGCGTACAGGTCAGTGAGGGCGGTGAGGGCGGAGATGGTGGAGGGGATAGAGCCAGTGAAGCCATTCAGACCGGCTCGCCTGGAGGTATAAGGGAAGGGGGAGGAGGGGAGAGCTGGACGAGTTGCTGGTTGGCTGGTGGGCAAAGCAGTGGGTATAGTGGCCAGCCGGACAAACAGGAATAGAACGGTAGGAGCGGCCTGAGCAGCTCAAATACGTCAAACCAAAATCCTGTGCTCTTGACATAGTGGATGGCTCACAAAGTTTGCAGCCTTGTAAACGCCATCCATTCAGTGGGGAACGGTGCAGAGCGGTGGACATTAAAGTTGCCGGTGACGTCCCTGCAGTGCGGTCAAGAGCAGGAGGGTGGCGAGGAAGGCATGGGCACAGGCACTGTAGTGAGCCCTTGTCGGTGAGGGTGGAGATTGGAGGAGGCACAGGGCACTCTAGCCAAGTTACTCTAGGCACAGGGCATGGATTTGAATGAAGGAGATTTTTTAGTCAACTCAACAGGCACGCATGGCCTTTTGAGTTGCGCAAATGCAATTAAGTGCAGTGGATGGGGAGGGAGGACTTGAACAGTGGGGGAGGCACAGGGCATGCCTATCGGTGGACCAGGGAGGCACAGCACAGGGCAGTACGGCATGTGGAAGAACAGCGCATGGTCACGTATTGAATGTTAAGAGAAGCACTCAAGTGAAGGTGGCACAACTGAGTTAGGGAGTGAGCTTTCGCAGGTTCGCCTTGGCAAAGCCCCAGCAGCGCAGCGTGCAAGGCAAAGCAGTCAGTGAGTGCGCAGGTGGTAGGACTATGGCGAGTCACATGTGGTGCAGGGGGGACAGGAGATGGAACCCATAAAAGGGACGTGCATGCGCCTCTTTTCCCAAGTGAAGCAATTGCAAGGTACGACAGAACGTGTTGATAGTTAGGGCTGAGATGGGAGAGGGGCTGTTGGTGCCACGTACAAGTAAACGAGCCTGGAGAGGGAACTGATCCATTGCGGTAAGCGGGTGATGGGAAGGAAACTAAGGTCACTGCCACAGATGGAAGAACAGAGGGGAGAGAGGATTGGCACAACCCCAAGCTCCTTCTCTAGTTCGACGATGGGCATGTCTTCATGGTTCAATAATAGGACCGATGAACCCTTGAAAGAGAAACGTGTATGCATCCTCCTATCTCTTGATGGTTTGGTAATAGCACCAATTAACCGCTAGAGGAAAGACCTGTACCCGGGAGGGATAAACTGCTTTTGATTTCAATTGGATCATGCGATGCAAGCACATGCCCAGAGCTACCAAGAACGCGACACTATCATGGTTGTGCTTCGTTGGTCACTGAAACAATGCATTAAACATGGCATGGGCTCGGCGACAGCGCGGTGGTTACTCAAGAGACTTATAGATACCCAAGTTTACTAAGGGCAGAGAGAGAGGAAGACAGCTCTCCAGGCGCAAGGTTGAGATTCATGAGAGAGCTGAGAAGAAGTGAGGATGGAAGAGAGAGCAGCATGTTGAATCTCAATGCAAGTGAGAGGATGAAACTCAATGTTCAAGTGTAGACACACGAAATCTAGGGAGGTGAGTGAAAGTGAGTGAGCGAGGCTTTGAGAATGACGCACGGGGAAGTGCCACGTGGAATGTGGGTGAGAGAGGGGCAGCAGCAGGCGGAGAGTCACTTGGCAGAAGGAGTTGATTCCGTTGAGCAATGGAAAGGAGCACTCGTTGGTCGAGCGAGAAAGGAAGGCGGGAAGGGATGAATGAGAAGGGAGGAGAATAGGGATAGAGATGAGTGAGATGAGAATAGGCGAGTGAGTGAAAGGGGAGCAGAAGGCGGGTAGGGATGGGCGAGAAAGTGGTGCGGATGAAAGTGGAGCATACAGGAACTGTAGGCGAGTGAGTGGGGCAAGACACGAGAAGCCGTCCATGGAGCCTTGCATCATAGGGGAACTCATGGAAGACTGAGTCAAGAGAATGCTGCGAAAAAACACACTCAGCGGGGTGAAAGGATACGGGGAGTGACCAGCTCTCTGTGGGCTGCATTTGCACACATCATGACAACAGCCATAGTCGCAGCAGGGGATATTGTCCTATGAAGCCCTGTGTGCGTGAGTGCATGGAGCAGTGAGAAAGAGGGATTGAGAAGGTTGGAGAACGAGAGGCACTGAGGCGTGTGAATAGAGCAGCTTGGAACACACGGCTGGCTTGCAACTGCAAGGCATTGCAACTGGGTTTTCAGTACTGGATGCTTTGCACTGCAATTGCAAGTCATTCCTAGAGCATCCCACGCATCAGCTTCTCGAGATGCACGCACACGTGCCACCAACCGCATTCTACAACTTTTGGGTGTAATGAAACAATGCGACTGGCACACACCATACCCCATCGCATGCACAAGCAGGCACAGGAGCCCAAAGCTATCTCCACCAATCTCACTTGGTTGGGTCGGGGCTAAGAGTTGGATCCACATCTGAGACATAGAATTGACGCATTCCAATATGCCTGCATGTTGGGGGGGTGCGCAAAGGTAGAAAATGGGAGTCAGGGCAAGGGATGCTCGTGCACGAATCAGACTGCTGAAGTTTGACAGAAAGTGGAGCAGTGGTTGGGATGTGAGGAAAGCACAAACCAGCATGTCAACACGAGTTGTAAGTGATGCCCATGGCTGCAAGGAGATGGAAGAGGAGAATGGAGAGCTCTAGCAAGGAGAAGGGGAAGGTACATGGTTTTGAGTGCAGTGGGGCGACTGATGCTGCAGGGGAGACTTCCACTGAGAGCCAAGCCCGTGAGGTCACTGGGATGGGATGCATGCAGATTGGTGCACAGAAGTGGTTGCCACAACAACGTTTAATTGCACAGAAATATGATGATATTGAATCCCAGAAGTTGGCTAATTGGTACTGAGGGGTAGGATGTAGATTGTCCAGCAGCCAATGAAAACAAACAAAACGAGAGTGGGAACCCCTCCCCCCTCCCCAACAACAAAAAAAAAACATAGCAGCAACTTCAAGAAAAACAAACCCTAAACCCTAAACAGAACAAACACACACACACACACACACACACACACACACACACACACACACACACAAAACAAACAAACAAACAAACAAACAAACAACTACTAATAAACACTTTTCATTGAATGCGGACGTGCTGAAAAAATGAGTTACTATTCCTGCCCGACCATGCCTTGGCATTAGACTAGAACCCCCTCTTACAGATGATTCAGACTCGTGGCATTGCTGATGGATTCAGGGATGGATCCACTGAACGGGGTATAGCTCAGATCTCTGTCACGTAGAATGGCAACTAGGAGGGTGGGGAAGGCAGAGCTTAGGCGTGGGAGAGGGCAACGGGAGAAGGAAGAGCTGACGAAATGACTCTCAAGTGGGGGTGCACTTTCAACGTGGAAGATTATGGGCGATTTTTTGTTGGTCATTGGCAAAGTAAAGCTGCCTGGTCGAAACTAAAAATGACGTAGTAACAAGACACATTCCAAGGACTTGGACGCAGGTGATAAACCTTTGCATCAGCCCACCTGTGAAACCCCACTTTGAAACAAGGTATCCTGGCGTGGCATCAGATGTTAGAAAAGTGCAAAGGCAGAGCAGATTGAGCTACGTACATATATTGCAACTTGGGAAAATGGCTTAGAATCTCCAGATCTCCACCAAAGTAAGAATGAGACATCTCCCTGCAGAAATCCATGTAATGCAAGAGAGCGGGGTGACTCAAAAGAAGCGAACAACAAAATTGGTGAGCTTCTAGGTCCTGATGGTGTGCAGACTTCAGATGCTAAACCACCCGTCAAGTAGCGTGTGTGGAATGATGAATGCAACTGTGTCACCAGCTCACGTGTTTCTGTGGTGGTTGTCGGAAGATGGCCTCCTCCCTTCCTCCCTTTTGTAGGCCTCCCTTGACCCTTCCCTTGCTTCTGTCTTCCTGTCTGTCTTGCTCATTCCTTAGGTACTTTTTGTCTCTGCACTGTGAACTGAGCTAGGGTTTCGTGAGTCCCCTTTGGTAACTCGGCTGACTTCCTGCCTGAAATGGCTCCTCGGTAGCAAACGTCGTCCAATTCATTCGCTAGTATGTGAGAAAATAAACAAGCAAGCAGGCATCTCGTGCCTGCGGTTTCCCTAAGTATGACTATACTTACCGTTGCTAGTGATCCGTTACACTTAGCCACACTGTTCCCACTTGCTTCGGAGTCGCTCTTGTCTTCGGGCATCGCAAATGCTTCGGCGGGCGTTTCTCGCCGCATCCTCTCTACTGTACTCACTCTCCTTTAGTCCCTACGCATACAGCCCTCTGTTACGCAAGTTCATATGGCTACCTAGGTGTTATCTATTATTCTAGCCTTATTAATTGCGTGACATGGTTCAGTGCACCCACAACGCAATGTGTGGCCCTTCAACTTCCCCCACGGTCACCCTGGTGCCCCGTTCCAACAGTGGTCTGCACTAACAGTTTCCGAAGATCAGTGAGGGCTGTGATGGATGACGGCACGGCTCCACATGTGATAGCGTATTCAGGGTATGGACCCTCAGGAAATTCATACGCCAGCCTGCATCATATATCAGATTATTAATAAAATCACACACACAAAAAAAAGCAAACAATCAAACAAACGAAAAAGAAACAAAACAAAACAAAACGGAAATGGAAAAATCAACTGGATGGTTGTACAGTTTCAACAGAAACGGTTGCATTGCTACAGCAGGTTCTCTATATCCTGCTGAACACTGTGTCATCTACAAATGCATGCGACTTCTGTCCACTAGC